GGGGCAGGTCTGCCTCGGGCTGGCTGGTAGTATGTGGATTCTTGACTTTGTGCAGGAAAGTTTTCACAACACAAGTCCAGATGATTTTGAAAGTATGTTCTTTAAAGCTGAGGACAGTGAAACAAGGAAGGGCCTAGGATAGAAGACTCGATGGGTCTACTTTGGCTCTCTAGAAATGGGGAAGAAGTGAGCTAAGGCAGGGCTGCTGTCCGCTCACTGGAGAGTCAGAGAAAAGGGGGTATTGGGGACAGGTTTAGAGGGTTAGCCCAGGATAGCTCCCGCTGCCCATTGCTCCCCTGGTTGCAAGTCTTGTAGGGTCCCTAAGAGTTCAGGAGATGCATGCTTGTGGGGGAAGAAAAGGAAGGGAAAGGAGCAATAGTGGTCCTGGTCAGTTGTGCTCTGGTTGTACTCCGGTTGTGCTCCCAGAAGGGAGAGTGCGCTAGAACTTCGTCTTGAGGGGAGGGTTTTAAAGGGTGGGAGTTTAGGGCCAGTCTTAGGGGAGATCTCAACAGAACATTCATCAGCTTTTCCAGTTGTGCCCTTTCAGGGTAGTGGTCTCCACTTGGATTTCAGAGCTTCTCCCTTGTATGCTGATTGGCCAGTGCCAGAGTAGGAGGTCATTAGTTATTGCAGCTAGTCCTGGTGTCACCTGCCTAGTTTTGCTGCTTTTCTGGGCCTGGAGCTGAAAAACAGCTGAGGCCTAGTTATTATCTCTAGGGAGGAAAGGTCAGGGGAGGGTTTGAACTGCATGACCAGGGGAGAAAAGGCTACCCTGGGGATGAGGTCCAGCACCAGTTTTGCCTGCAGCTAGGCACCTGGGGTTTTTGGCCCTGATGACCTGTATCTAGCTCTAAATTGCTCTGCCAGTTTGTTCAGCTATCTGTCTCAGTTCCCCCATTCCACTTGCCAAGGAATCTTCCTAGCTTCTTACTATCCTGCCTCATGAACACTTGACATTTCTAACAGCCTATAATTTTAAATTAAAATTTTTCTAATTTAATAGAAAAAAGAGATAAGCAAAGATGACTAAATGTGGAATCTGTCTTAAAGCTCATGCTATCTCTTATTGAGCCAAAATGACTGAAGCCAGCACCTTTAAGTACCATCTTCAGCCAAAGACAAATGAAGATGTTGCAGGTGAGGGTGTCAGTTAAGGTAGGTTACCAGGAAAAACACTGTAAACGGGTAAGGTTGTTCACAGGTTTGAATCTTTGTCTTCTGCATTAATAAGAGTTTCTAGAGATAAGTTTATTCCCCTCTTCCTGGTACAGCAGGGAGACAACCTTCCAAGTGGAGATTTCCCTTACAAAAGTAAATGTCTCCCGCAAAGGGTGACTTCTACATGGATTTCAGAGCTTCTCCTTTGTATGCTGTTTCTTAAAATTAGCCAGCCTAAAATAATCCTTATGTCAAAGAGACATATTCTGGGGTGACAAAAATCTGTTCCCTTACAGCTGCTAGGCTGCAAACCCATACAGTCTGTTACTGCACTGAATACTGTAGGCAGTTATAACACAGCGGTATTTGTGTAATGTGTTGCAGTAGGATGTTAAGATAGCTAGATGTCACTTGGCAATAGGAATTCTTCAGCTCCATTTTAATCTTATGGGACCACCATTGTAGACGTGGTTTGTCTTTGACTGAAAGGTCATTATGCAGCGCATTATTGTATATCTTCTTGGATTTTTTTATTATTCAGATTTGCCCTAAAGGGGTTAGAGGTTATATTCTTTCATCTTAGAACTATATACAATTTGTGTGTGTGTGTGTGTGTGTGTGTGTGTGTATATGTATGTATACATACACACACATATACACATACCATGTCGATGTAGAGAACATCCAAACCTATAGAGAATTTTTATGAGCTTATTTGAGGCAAACGGACTACATGCCAGAAACAAGATCTCAAATGCTCTGGAGAAAAATGCTTCCCAGAATGACAGTTTGCAGTTTCTTTTGATAGATTTGGAATAGGGGGGTGGAGAGCATAAGGAAGATTACATGAATTACAAGATTACGTGAGAGAAAGCAAGGCAGGGAGATCTCTGTGATTGGATTGATTGCAGGATGGTTAACAAGATTATGTGCTCCCTTGAAGGTATTCTGAAAAAGGCATTTCAAAGGTATGTTAACCTGGATATACAAAAACAAGGGACTGGATCAACAAGATAAGTAATAGCAAGTGTTGGAGAGGTTGTGGAGAAAAAGGAGCCCTCATTCACTGCTGGTGGGAATGGAAACTGAAACAGCCACTGTGGAAAACAGTATGGAGGCTCCTCAAAAATTAAGAATAGATTTATCATATGACCCAGCAACCCCTCTTCTGGGTATCTACCTGAAAAGTTTGAAAACGTTTATTTGCAAAGATATATGCACTCCTGTGTTCATTGCAGCACTATTCACAGTGGCCAAGACTTGGAAACAACTGTTGTCCTGTGATAGACGATTGAATAAAGAAGATGTGGTGCATCTATGCAATGGATTACTACTCAGCCATAGGAAAAGATGACATACTGCCATTTGTGACAACATGGATGGACCTTGAGAATACCATGCTAGGTGAAATAAGTCAGTCAGAAAAAGCTAAGAACCAAATGATCTCATATGTGGAATATAAAATTGAAACTCATAGACACAGACAATAGTACGGTGGTTACCAAAGAGAAGGGAGGTAGGGGGATAGTAAAAGGTAAAGGGGGCCAAATATATGATGATGAAAGATGATTTGACTTTGGGTGGTGAGCACACAATGCAATATACAGATCATGTATCATAGAAATGTATACTTGAAACCTATATAACCTTACTAACCAGTGTCACCCCAGTAAACTTAATGTAAAAAAAATAAGAGCATTAAAAAAGTAGCCTTGGCCAGTGTGGCTCAGTTGATTGGAGCATCATCCCAGGCACCACAAGGTGGTGGGTTCAATTCCGAGTCAGGGCACATACCCAGATTGCAGGTTCCATCCCCGGTCAGGGAGCGTGCAGGAGGCAGCCAATTGATGTCTCTCTCTCACATCAATGTTTCTCTCTCTCTCTCTCTCTCCCCCCCTCTCCCCTCCTTCCTCTCTAAAAAAAAAAAATTTTTTTTTAATTAAGAAAAAAATTTACAGTGGTTTAAAAAAATGGACAGGGCTTGCTTAAGACAGAGATAACCTTTTACTAGGGAAGTTGTAGGCCTGAGGCATGACTATCCACATGACCTGCCTAGTAGGAATTTATGATCAGATCACCCTGTGAGGTTGCTTTCTGTTATACTTATTACAAAGCTCCTTTTTATCCACAACTAAAAAGTGAGCATTCCTGCTGTTTTATATAATGTTTATTCAAAATTATAGCTGTTATAATTCTTTAGACATGTATTTTTGCCTTAGTTTATGATTTTTGTGATTGATGCCTCAAGTATTTTGTTACCTGAAGTCCAGCAGTTTTCTACATTGGTTTTATGCATTTAATCATTGGAAATATAGGAGTAAAAATGAAAAATTCAATATATAAGCATTATAAGATTGGATCAGGCTGCTTGGGTGTGAGCATTCATTAGCTGAATGACCTTAGGCAAGTTACTTAAAATTCTGTGTTACCTGTGTTTCCCACGCATTACCACTATTTCACCTCCATTCTAGGACCAAGTGGTGGGAGATACAGAGAGAGGGGAAAAAAGCAGAAGAGGGGTTGGTTACACCTTACTGGAATCACAGTTCCACTGAACAGAGAGGAAGGTTCCCCTTCCTCAGAGGTGTGGTTTCCATTGTTCTACCAACACCAGCACCATCACAAGGTTTCTTGGGGCTGGTGTGTGAGAAAAGAAAAGAAAAATAAATAAATAAAAGGGAGGGGGATTCCTATACTCTTTCTGAGGATAAGGAGTTTCCTTACCTGGTCCTTGAGCTAGAGTTACAGTTCTCTCTGTGCCACAGCGGGAGGAACCAAGGAGGAGGAAGGAGGGCAGGGAGAGGTAAACCCCTGCCAATTCAGAAATACCTTGAATTCCGGTCGTCTTCTCTGAATCATCTTCTATTCTTTACAGAAACTTCAAATAGGTGTTCCATGCATTCTGCCCAGGTTTTATGGTTTCATTCAGTGGGTGGAACAGAACCAGACCCTAAATTTCCTTTTAAAAGAGAACACTTGTAATATTGCCACCATCCCTTCTGCTTTTCAAATTCAAGACTATTCCCATACTAAGGTATGCCTAAAATAGTTTCCCAAACTTTCCATTTTTCCTCTTCAAATGCTACACATCTTTTAAAGCTCAGATGTACTGCCTTCTTAAATTTTGTTTGTTTTCTGCCCTGCTGTCACGTGTTTCACATAAAAGGAGTATGTGAACTCTTTCGCATTGGAATAACTGGTGTTTTATTTATGCCTTTTTCAGTATGCATGTGTGTGTGTGTACATACATACATACACACATTTTGTTTTAGGATTATTTTTATGTTTAGAGATATAATAACTGTGTCTAGCAGAGGCTATTATGCCTCAGATCCAATAGATTCAAATAACATTCATTGCCTACCACTCACTCTGCTATAATAACTCTTTGAGACATTTATTATAAATCTCACTCATATGAGGACCTTAAGGGTAAGTAATTTTTTTTTTTAAAAACAACAATAACAACATGTTTTTATCGGTTTCAGAGAGAGGAAGGGAGAGGGGGAGAGAGAGAGAGAAGCATCAATGATTAGAGTCATTGATCGGCTGTCTCCTGCACGCCCCCTACTGGGGATCGAGCCCAAAACCCAGGCATGTGCCCTGACTGGGAATCGAAAGGCGATCTCCTGGATCCTAGGTCGATGCTCAACCACTGAGCCATGCCAGCTGGGCAACATCATCTTAATTTTCTACAGTGGCTGTGAGTTTCCTGAGTATAAGAATTTCAATTTTTGAAATTTTTAATTTCAAATATTTAATTTTCTATCATCTAATACCTACCATATAGTAGCTATTCAGTAAACATAGCAAAAGCCCTAATTTTTTTCTTTTTTCTACAGTACCTTGGCCACGTAGAAGTTGATGAGTCAAGAGGAATGCATATCTGTGAAGATGCTGTAAAAAGATTGAAAGCTGTATGTATTTGATGATTGCTCGTGTTGGTCTGTATGCTGTAAATATTTTCTTAAAAGATTTTGCTCTGTAAATTTTAGTGACCCACAATCCAATAAGAACAGTGTTTCTTTTAAGGCAAAATATGTGAGTTCATTAACAAAGAGTATCTCATGTTGTCCATCCAAAGGTGTAAATTATAAAGACAACTTCTTCAAGTTAGGCCAGACATTATCCAAAAGATACTTGTGATTCAGAACCCATATGAAACAAGTAGTATGAAATCTTACAGGTGAATAATATTCTAAAGCCAGGATAAAACTATTACTGCTAGTATCTTAATCTAATTGTGATAACTGGGTTATAAATTATTGATTTTAAATTTTCTATAAGAAACCGCTTTTCAGAAAAAAAAAGAAGATAGAGATATCTGTGTTGATCACTAGTGAGGTTTACATTTTGGGAGGACTTATTGTTTTGACTGCTACTCCCAATATCCTTCTCTATACCCCTCGAACATAAAAAATATATTCCCCTGCCTCTTGCACAAACTTCAGCATACTTGAAATGGAGAATTCTTTTCTAAGATAAATAATGTTTACTTTCCTGTTATGCCGTAGAACACATCCTAGACACATGCTTGTGTATTTAATAAAAGGAGATAGTAGGTTCAGAGTTCATAAAGGTTCAGATTAAAACGTTAATTTCATATTTTGGATAGATTTGAAGAATGTTTCATAAACTCTTGACAGGCCTCTTCACAACCTTCCTTCTCTCCAGTGTGTGGTCTTCCCCACCTCCACCCCTTGCTCTGAAAGCTTTAAGCATTACTTCTGCATGCCCTTGCCCCAAATAGCTTTAAATACTTATTGCTTTGAGTATGCTGGTATGGTGGGCTGCCACAAGTTTGACTACTAATGAGTGCTTTTTCTCAAGTTACTTAATAATCAAAACTTTTCTGCTTCTTGGTACATTCTGTATGACCTCTTTTCTAATAATTCCTCAATATAAAAGATATAAAATCAAAGAAGCAACCACTCAGAGAAATGAATTGTATTTTGGAAGAAATGCCTGAATCTGTTGTAGAATGGAAAGGAAGAGGAAAGTAACTGATTATACTCTGCAAAGAACTAAAAAAAATAAAAAGTAAACCAATACAGACACAAGTACACATATATACACACACATACCCTTTACATTAGATTTTGATCTTTTACATTCTTAAATGATTGAAGCCCTTCCTAGTCTCTTTGTGCTCTCCAATTGTCATAATGTTAAAGGGGCTTATATCCATGTACATGAAACTATAATTTATAGACTTGCCATGTCCACCTGAATATATTCCCCAGTTAAATACAGCTTCAGATCATGTAATTTCCAAGAAATATGAATTCAGTCTCCTCTTTAACAAAATAATTTTAAGTTCACTAGAAAAATAAGTTTAGCTAAGAACATTTTAGAAAGTAATGCAATGATTTACCTTATGGTCATTTAAAGAACATTTTAAACATCATAAACTAATGACTAAAAGCAACAGACAAATCAGTGAACAGACTAGATAGACCTGAAACAAACCATAAATAGATTAAAGTCATATAACTTCTATAACTTACGGTTAGAAGGTCACGGTGGAATGAGCTTTTAGAAAGTCTTTTAACTCAAGAGTATAGCTTCATGTTCACTCTCTAAATGAGGAAAATCTCTAAATGAGGAAAATCTTTAAATTTACCCAGAAGGTATTAAGAGATGGTATTTAGTTGTTTAATGAGCAGTTAACCCTTTTAACTGTCTAGGTTTTTTTAAAAGCCAGTCAGAGAAAGACAAGTACCATATGATTTTACTCATAAGTGGACTCTAATAAACAAACTGAACTAACAAGCAAAATAGAGACAATCTCCTAGATAGCAGGCTGAAAGCTCGGGGGGCGGGGGGTGGACTGGAAGAGGGTAGAAGGATTGAACAAAACAAAAAAAAGACAATTCATGGACATGGACAACAGTGTGGTAATTGCGAGAGCTAGGCGGATCTGTGGAGGTGGAGAAGGGTATGGGGGGATAAATTGGTGCTGGAGAAGAAAAAGAAAACCCTACTTTTAAATAGAAACATCAGTTTATTATATAGGTAGTGAATGTTCATTGTATAAAATACAAATGAACAAAAATAGTGCATAAAATTTCTTGCAATCCCAGAGATAGCCACTATTTACCATTGAGTTTTAAAACTAATTTTTTGTTGACTGAATGTTTTTGTTTTATTTTACCTTTTTTTTAACCAAGAAGATTATAAACTATGAGCATGATTATTTGAGTACAGGTCTATCTATTTATTTATTTATTTACTTATTTATTTATTTAATAATCCTCACCCGAGGATATTTTTTTTCCATTGCTTTTGAGAGAGAATGAGAGAAACATCGGTGTGAGAGAGACACATCGATTGCAGCCTCCTGCACGTGCTGCAACTGAGGTACGTGCCCTTGGTCAGAATCAAACCCAGGATCCTTCAGTTCTTGGGCCAATGCTCTAACCACTGAACCAAACTGGCCAAGGCGAGTACAGGACTATTTAGATAATAAAATTTAGTAAGTTTTTATTTTCATTGGAAATAGGAACCAAATTGCCATTTAAAAAATTATACCTCTGTTTAAAACAGTGTCTGGCACACAGTAGCCACTCAAAAAATATTTTTGGAATGAGTATACAGAAAACATTTCAGTCCTCAATATGTGGTCAAACTGAATCTCATAATAACCATAATCATAATTATATTTCATGTTTTAAAGTTTATGAATCCCTTTTGCATATCTCTAAAAGATCCTATTTTCCCTGTGGTATTTTTTTTAAGATTTTTAGAAAGGAAGAGGGAGAGAGAGAAACGTTGTGAGAGCGAAACATCAATCAGCTGCCTCCTGCACACACCTTACCAGGGATTCAGCCTTCGACCCAGGCACGGGCATGTGCCCTGACTGGGAATTGAACCGGCAACCTTTTTGTGCATGGGATGATGCCCAACCAGCTGTGCCACTCTGGCCAGGGCTCCCTGTGGTATTTTATAACTAAAATGAAGTTTTATATATGTTCATTGTTCTTCTGGACATACTTAAACTTTTGAACTTTGAGGGGAAATTGACTGTTTCTGAATTTTTCACTCAAACTCTTTGACATTTTTCATACCAACCCTATCCAGGAGACTTGGAGCAGATGTTATTTATAATTTTATATAGGGAAACGTGTTTTTTAAAATACGATGGGATTTTAGGTAACATGTCAGTTTCCTGTTTATTATACTCAAACTTCCCCCTTGTACAAATACCCTTTCTAATGCTGTACTGAGAAGGCTGCGGAAAGTTGAGTCTTCAGCTTGTTCTTCTCAAATCACATTAATCCACAAAAATTCATGACTTTCTCTTCTTTTCATATGTTTACTATGCAGAAATTTCTAGTTGCCTCTCTCCCTTACCAAACATTGATCCTAACAAACATAATCAGATCTATAATTAGATATACCAGCTGCTTATATTATGCCAAAAGCTATGTCTCTGAAAGTGTTTTTGTTTACTTTTATAGATCATAAAGCTTCCTCTTAGAGTTTCAAATAAATGCAAGCAAATGTAAAAGTACACCCTATAGATTAAAGAAAAAGAGCATTTCTGTGGAACTAGTTTGAATGTCAGTGTTTTAAAATTTGAAGAATTATATATAGCTCAGATATACCAGTTAAATAGCAAAACAGACATCGTAAACTTACCGCTTAAATGACCTTTAAACTGGAAATCTAACATTCTAATGCATTTTAAATTTGTGGGGAATTGAGGAAGCAGGGTTAGTTTAACTTCAATTAGAAGTTCTCTGCAAACTTAATATTCTCAAATGAAAAGATACAATAACTAAACAAGTTAGTGTTTTAAACATATACTTCTCAGAACCTAAATATGTTCAAATTGTTATTTTACTTTGTATACACAGAGTTAGTTATAGCTATTTTTAACTCATTTACCTTATGACATAATTTCACAAATTAGCCATTTAGGGATTTAGATTGTATGGGATTTGTCTATGGACAATCTCTTCTTCATTTTCAGTATCTTTATGTCATAGTTGGTGCTGGGAGGAGTAATATCATTTATCAATCTGTTCTGTAAAAAGTGTATCGGTCTTTGGTTATCTTGTTTGACACTGATCCAAGATACCCTTCCTTTTAAAAGGTCTTTTCTTCCCATTGTCTCTGTAAATGTCTCTCCCTCTGTCTTGGTTTTAGAATAGTTTCATTATACTACCAGTTTCTAATATGTTGATTTTTTTTATTCATTATTTGATATATTTTTCCTAATATATGTTTTTGTTTTAGCAGGTAAAAGAATCATAATTTAATTATTTTTTAAAAAGCAATATTCTCTAACTCTTTTTATGCATTTTGCACGTCAACTTTTTCATTAACATCTGAGATCTTTTATAAAAAGAAGGCAAACTTCATGTTTAACAAGTGCTTTTCTGGGAGCTAAATTAAATATTAATTGATCTCTTTCTCTCACCTCACTATCCCTGAAGAATGGTGAATCTTTTAACTTTGGCTGCATCTTTAAAAGCTCATGGTTGCTCACAGTCTAACAAAACTAGGGTCACCAAACTTGGCAGCAGAGATAAAGTTAGTGTTATTGTGATAACTACCCCAATTACTTTATTTTTTTTCCAGCTTAAGTTCAAAATATTTTATGGAAATATTTGATTCTGCTTGTCATTTTCAAAATGTAGGGAGCAAGCAAACAACTCAGTGTTTGAATGACTTTATCAGTTGTCTGAGAGTCAAATTTCAGTATAGTTGTCTTTTTCCAGACATTTGTCCATCATTAAAAACTGATTATAAAAAGTAAAGGCTTGTAGTTCAACCAGAACTAGGAAATATAAAGAAACTTAAGCTAGCATGGGTGAATTAGAACCCATCTACTTTGCATAAATTCCTCAAATTTTAAATAGTGGTCAGTTTTTAAAGTTTCTGTATGCTTAAAAATTAGTGCTGGGACCATAGATAGCTATGTCTCTCTCATGTACATAGTTTCAGAATTGTATACTTATAAAACTGTCCATGCAAGTTTCTTTATTCTAAAACAGTAACATTTAAAAAGAAAACAAAACTCCATTCCTTACATTTAAGTTGCGGTCCACAGATGTGGCTTTGTCCTCATATATTTGTTTTCTCTGCTCCAGTGGAATAATTAGCCTTGTGTTCTTTATAGGTGACTTATTCTGTGTTTGGAATAGAACATATTTTTTATTTCCCGTTGATTACTGTGGAATTGACCGGCACACATACAAATTAATCCTAATGATAAGTAAGGATTCTCTAAGTGACATCTTGAATTCAGTAAGAAAAAGTCTGACAAGGACCCTTGCTGCACATTATAATTTAATTTTATGTGTTGCTGTGTGATTATGTGGTCATTTGAATATGAACTGATTTTTTAATTGATAATTTCCACATTGCTGACCACTTTTCAATTGAAAAATGTGTATGGAACTAATCTTCTATTTACTACTCACTATTATGAAATTTAAAATGCAAATCTCACGAAACCAATATGTCCTAATCTTTTTCTCTGCTGCCAAATTAGGATAATCTCTGTTTTATAAGTAAATAGAGAATACTAAACTAACTAGTTACTCCGCATGGATATAGGTTCTGATTTTTCTGATTCTTTCCATGGATTCTTAGGCCATACAGTATGTTTCCCTGCATTTTCATGTCACTGCTGGAATGGATAACTCTTTAAAACTCACTCCCCCCCCCCTTCTCCTACTTTGTCCTTTACCCAACTTCCATATGTGCTTATTGGTGTGAAACCCTGGGACATTTAGCCCATACAATAATAGCGCTCGACTTGTCCCCCTGTTCCTCCAGGAAAGGAAGTTCTTCAAAGGCTTCTTTGGAAAAGTAAGTTTGATGCCACATTTGTGCTTGCTTTATAAGGAGTTACACCCCTAGTATAGCACTGACGTATTTTTTAAAAAAGAAATACAGCTTTGGTATCTTTATAATACAGGAACTGATTTGACTATATATAGAAATTAATAAATTGGAAAGTTGCTCTCCATGATATTACCTGTGTCTGTTGATACTAAATCTGATGATTTCTAGGAAAGTCCAATAAACAAAGTAGGTTACAAAAGGATTGTCTCTTTTTTTAAGACTAGGTGTTAAATTTAATTCGATCTTGCAAAAACTGTTCATATTAGCATATTAGCTGAATTTTTAACAGGTGGGTTTTACTTAGTGTTCAATATTGACAGAGAAGTGGGAAGAAATATTAAATTCAAGTGAAAATTAAATGTATCCCAAATTTTACACTCAGTGCTATTTTTTTCAATCTATGTTAAATTTCAGGTGAAGTTTTACGGAGCCTAAGTGACCCACCTAACTTCAAAAATATAATAAGTGGTAGAAACTAAGATTTGAACCCTGGAGCCCACACTCTTAATCACTATGCTACACAGTCACTCAGATCCATATTATTTACAAGTGAACTTTAAAAGATTTAACCTTAAAAGATGCTAATAAATAAAGAGCTTTCTGGAAACTTACTTTTACTCTTTTTCTCCTTTAAAGGTAGTAATTAACTTTGGATTTATCTCTAATTAATTTACTTTTTTACTAGTCAAAGTGTTAAAGAGTCTTTTTTTAGTGGTTCTAACTAACATTTTATTTATCTGGAGATACTTAAATCATACTAGTGAGTTTGACTCCCATGGGATTTCCTTAAAAGATGCTAAGTAATCCCATAGTGGCATCCATGAACAAATGTGACTATCAGAATTTTTTCTTGTTATTGCAGGGAGAATTCTTTTGATGACAGAATTTTTTTTATTATATTAGAATAAAATAATACACAATTTTTAAAATTACAGTAAATCATTCAAAGAATTTGGAAAACTGAGGGGTAGGGGGAGCATCACTCATAATCTTACCAGAATTGTGCTTTTACATGCAAAACTTAACTTCGGAGCCTTTTAAATCTTTCAAGTTGCCATCATTCAACTCACTTCCACACTGTTCTACAAGAAATAGGCTGGTGAAAGAGACTTGGTTTATTGAGTTTGCTAGGCCAGTTGTGGTTTGATGAAAGCTGAAAATGAAGAATCTCATAGAACAGAATATGATAGGGAGTTTTTATCCAGTACAGTTCCTCATAAATTTTGATACTTTCCTAGCCTTCACGCTATGTATGATAATGGTCCAGGATAACGAGAACAACAGTTATCAAGAAGTGCTTCCATCAAACACATTTGCTTAAAAGTAGGTAAATGTAAGAATTATTAGCCCTGATTCTGAATTTATAAGTCACAGCCAGGAGGACTGCACCATCTTTTCCCTAAGTTGCCTCCTGGACCTGACTACCCAGTCACTTCCCTGTTCCTTTATCATCTGATAATGGGAGCAGTGCCTCCAGAAGCTTTAGCCATGGGAAACAGATACACCTGGGTCTGTTACCAAATTCCTATTAACCTATTGTTAGCTTATATGAATCTTAAAAGAGAAGGGGGAAAACTGAGAACCTGAAATAACTTTCTCCAAAGTAGCTATATTAAATTGCTCGTTGTTTTAGGGAAGTCAGGAATGTACTCAACTTTTTAGGAAGTGTTACAGGCAGCTTCATTTGTGTATTTGGCCGTAGTAGGCCAGTACTTTATTACCTAATAATTATAGGGCACTTAACATTTGAAAAGGATTCATAATTTTAATATATTTGAGTAATCTATATTTTTATGAGGAACTAACTGAACATAGAGATGTAAAATTCTTAGACCTCCCTATTAGGTCTCTTTAAAGCCATCGTATTAGAAAAACTCAGTTCAGTCTACCTCCTGTGAATCTTTCTCCTGTGTCTCCCTTACTATTCAGATGAAACACTTCACTTCTGTTCACCAGATACTTGGAAATTTTTCCCACACCAAGCAATTCTCTGCAACACTAGCTGGGTGTCCTACAATTTAACTCAATTCTCACACCGTCTTCCTGGAGATAGTGTCAGATCCTACATGTTAAGGGCTCAGTCCCACGAGAGTGCTCCCACCCTATTTGAGATGCCAATTGCAAGTAATAGGTCCTCAGGTTACTCACAACTTCTGTCCAGTTTGGCTACAAATTGGAGTTTCCCATGCTCTCTTCCTCAGGCTTGATTAATTTGCCAGAGCAAATCACAGAACTTAGGAAAACACATTTACCAGTTAATCAAAGGATCTGAAAAACAGCCAGATGAAGAGATAGGTAGGGTGAGGTCTGGGAGAGTCCCAAGCTCAAGAGCTTCTGTCCCTGGAGTTGAGGTATGTCACTGTCCCAGTGTGGATGTGTTTGCCAACTTGGAAGGTCTCTGAGTCTTGTAATGTTAGGATTTATGGAGGCTTTCTCACGTAGTCATGATCAGTTATTCTACTTTTAGCTCCTCTTCCCTCTCTGGAGAATGGAGAGGGGACTGAAAATCCAAAGCTTCTAATCATGGCTTGTTCTTTCTGGTGACCAGCCCTCATCCAGGAGGCCACCCAGAGTCGCCTCAATAGAACAAAAGGTGCTCCTAGTACTCTTGTTATTTAAGAATTTACAAGGGTTTTAGGAGCTCTGTGTCACGAACAGGTCAAAGACCAAATATTAGAACAAGAGATGCTCATAGTACTTTAATCACTTAGGAAATTATAGAGTTTCAGGAGCTCTATGCCAGGCACTAGGGGCTGAGACCAGTACATATTTTCTGTTATCTTACAGGCATTTACTTGTACTCATATAGAGCTTTATAGTTTATAATATGCTTTGACCTACTTTATAATTTGCTGCTCACAACAGCTCAGTGAATTAGTGTAGTTCATGAAAGTACATTTTACAAATGAATGAATTAGCTGAAAGAGTTCACCCAGCTAATAGCAAATGGCACTGCCTGCCCTGAAACCAAGGCTTTCTGAAACCTGGTGCAGAGTTCTTTCACCTACCCCATATTGATGTTCTCATATTCAAAAGTATTGTCCTTTGCTTTCCTCAGGTAGACCTTAATTATAATGAATGAAGAAGTGCCTCATGCAGAGGACATGAGACAGTTCAAGGGCCTGAATGCCTCCCACAAACTTGCATTGTATGGCTTGTGCAGTTTATAAATTTGAAGTAATTGCCAGTATTTCAAACATTGAAAGCGTGCATATAAAAACTAGGATATCTGTCGTAAGAATTAGAAGATCTGAAAAATGACATGCTTTCTATGTGACAACAGTGGCTTGAGCTGAGTAGCTAGCAGCTGTGCCTTTTGGTTGCTTATTTGCCACAATCCCTACAGCTCCCTATTGTCCTATACTGTTACCTGCTTCTAACCCTGTAGGCTTTGAGTTTGTGAACTCCTCCCAAGGCTATTATGTCACTTTTATTTAGGGAGGAGTTGGGTAAACACATCAAACTGTATACAAATCACCAAAAATATATCTTTTGTAGCAAATCCTGTTAAATGTACTGCCAAATATATTTTTCAAGTTTTTATGCTTTTATAATCGTTAAATGCCATCATTAGAAATGGTTGTTTTAGAGAATGCAGGGCTTAAAAGTACTGTGTGGTTATATTGTTTTCACCTAATTCTGGAGAATAAGACATTTCATAGTGTTCATGACCCTCTTAAATCAGTGTACTCTCATCTACATTCTATTTCAGATTTCCCAGACTTTCACCTTGGTGACAGATCGTGCTCAGTGTTTGTTTTCATTCTGGATACTTTTCTTTAAAAGTGTTAGATTAGCTGCTGCCTCTTTCCTTTCTTTCCTGCCTATGTTTTAAATTCCCATGCCCTTCTTTAAATTTTATTTTCCTTGCATTTTATTGATGCATCTTTTAGGATTTGGTTTATTTTTCTTTTGAAGTACATTATAACAAATTCCTGAAGAACAACAAAAAGTCCCAAGAGTAATCAGAAGATTCTCATTCATCCTTGGTTTCATTATTTCCTGTGACATAACCAACTAGTGTGTCACATGCCCTGGTCACAGACCTTTTCTAGATTAAAAAAAATTTCAGTAACCTTTGGAGTTTTTAAAAATTTGTATTCACGAAAACCCAGTGGTTCTCAAGCTTCAAATCACAGTTGGTGTCCAAAACGTGCCAGGGACTGTGCTAGGCTATCCAGATACAAAGATAAGCAAGACAGTCTCCATTTTTTAAAGCCTGTTTACTCTCTTATTTTAGAGGACTATTTGACATCTCCTCCTCCTTTCTTAAACTTCCAGAATGTCTTATTCTGTTGATGACCTGGCCTCGTACTTCACTGAAAAAACAGAATAAATCAGAAGAAAATTCGAATGTTCCACTGCCACGTCTACTCACCTACCCACATCCATGCCCATTTGCTCTGTTTTCCCTCCTATTCAAGGGATGCACATGTTGCTAGCTGAGGCCAGCTCCTCCAGTAGGTTATAATTATTCCAGCTCCTCCTTTTTCCAGCAGTGCTACCCCATCTTGTCTCCATAATCAGTCGTCTTTCTCTAGTGGATCATCCATTAGCACAAAAACAAACCATCCTTTAAAAAAAGGGTTTCTTCTTAGTGCCTTCAGTTACTGCTCCCCCTTCCTTTGTTGAACTCATTTAATCAGGCTTTTCCCCTCACCACTCCACCAAAGCCATTCCTGTCAATTCTTCCTCTGTATTACTATTCCTGTGGTCTTGTCACCTCACTCAGCCTGTCAGCAGCATTGGACATAGCCTGTTCCTCCCTGCCCTGAAATACTCCATTCCTTTGGAGTTCAGGGATCATACTCTTGTTTTTTTCTTACAATGCTGCTTACTCCTGTGGACTCTACCTACCTCTCCCTTGATGGTCTCATCCAGTGTTACGGGTTTAAATACCATGTCTGATGCTACAGCCTGCCGTAGTTGATGTTAGGTATCGTTATCCTCATCATCATTAAACA